CCATTCCATCACAACCCTTATTGGTTAGTAGATCAAGTTACTAGTTAGCCTAATACTCTTTTATTTATTTTTATATAATTTAAGTTATATACATAGAATATAATAAATTTTTACATTATTAGTTTAATTTAATTTGTTATCGCTGATTATTTATTAATAATTAAAAATTATCAATTAATGTCATTTAAAAGACTTAGCTGTAATTATTTTTGAATGACGTAATTTTATAAATATATTTTACATCGTCAATATTAACAAAAATTATTGGTGTGTTAAACAACGGGCGGGTATCAATCTATTAATCCACCACCAGTACAATCTACCCACCACAAACCACATATTTTCAAATTAATTTTGTCCATTAAAATTTAAACAAATAGGTTCACACAAAGTTTTATAATATTCGAAATGAAATCCTCACTCATGTCTCTGTCACTAAACAATCACTTGAACATTAATTAAAATCTCAGACAATGAAATAAGACATATGTCTGTATGTAGTGGCGAAGGAAAGATTTTCGCTAAGGGGTTCAAAAAACAAAAGTTAAAAATAATTGTAGTTAGTGAGGATTGAACCAATGACCTTATAAAGGTTTTGAACTCTCTTGATTACTAAGCTATGCTTTTGGATTATGTCAAGGGGATTCAAAATATCAGAGGCGGATGTAGAGTATGTCCGACGGGTTCATCTGAATCCAGTATTTTTGCTGCGCAGCATAAATTTATGTGTAAAAATCTATTAAAATTGCAGAAAATGGTAGGTATGAACCCATAACTTTAAAAATACAATGGGTTCAATGCAAAAACTTTAAAAGTTGAACCCATAAAATCTAATTCCTGAATCCGCCTCTGCAAAACATAACATATACAGGCAAACAATAAATTTTGTCGCCCCCTAAATCCGCCCCTGGTTGTACATACGTTCTCCATTAACCATGCAAATAAGCTTTCATTAGTTATGTCTCAGCACAATTCTCAGCGATCAGCTTTATCCAAATAGCTGGTCAGAAAAATAATTTATTTTTCCTAGTCAGTATACATAAATTATATACAATTATATATATATATATATATATATATATTACCTCTGTCGACTATTTTTAGCTTAAACAATTGGGTGTTGGTTGTTTAGGTTATTTCTTCAAATCTTCAATGGTCAACTCATAATTGCAGAATCCTTACCCGGAAGGAAATATTACGGGTAACAAATGAATTGGGGTGAAGTACACAAATAGCCCTTAAAGTGGATGGTCTTGAATTTTATCACGTCGCATGCAAACAAGTGTTACCCCTCGCTTGCCTCATTGACAACATTTTTAATTTTTGACCTTAAAATTCTATCCATAGAGCAAGTGGGGTTCAAAATTTAATTTAAAACCACCTCAAAAAGTGTCATATTTTGCAATTTTTCGAATGGATTGTACTTATAAGCCCATGGAAAAACAGAATATAGAGGCCGGCCCAGGAGGTCGTCGGGTCACAGCCCAGTCCATTGAGTGGCGGAAACGAAAAGGGATCTTTATACAAATAGCCGACCAAATTCATTGGTTACTTTTTCTAACCATATACATAGATTATACATTAACTTTATACACATAAATATATAAATTATACATATATTATACATCCACCAATTATTTTTAGTTTAAATAGCTGGGTGGGCGGCTATTTTGTTTAATTCTTCAATTAGGAACCCCGAAAATGTTGGAACCCACTCGTCAAATTAATTCGAATTTGGATCGCGTATGACATATTAAAGGGGAAGGCACTACCTACCAAGAGTTTTTCATCTTAGGGCTCGAACACGAGACTCTGTTTAAGAGTAGAGAAATCTCATCTATCCCCAAATGGAGGATTAAGAAAAACACAAGAATCACAATGGAACATATGACCATTAGCTGTAATAGAAGTTATTTTTAGTTGCTGCAAATACAAGCATAAAAATTATCACATTAAATGGTGTCAAAAAGGATTATGCCATTAGAAATAATAATATAACCACAATGTTTACAAAAATTGATTCATTAAATTCTACAATCTGTGTCACTAAAAACTTGACAAACAGGTATGACAAATATAATTATACTTCATTTTTAGAACAATAAAGCAATTAAAGAACATTAAAATTAAGGAGCAGACATGAACAGAACTTGGACCAGTTCTTATACAGGGGGGGGGAGGGGGGAGGAAAGACAAAGAAAAATCTATATAGCTTTCATTACAAGTAGGCCTTTTTAAACTGTTAGAAGAAAATAAAGGAGTTGAACAAAACATCTATTTGATCAAACATAATAAGTAGTACATTAACTATATGTTACGAGTTCGAGCCATGAAAGCAACAACTAGTGTTTGTATTAGGTTTGGCTGTCTGCATAACACCTCTTGGGATGCGGCCCTTCTTCGGACCCTACGTGAACGCGAAATGCTTTATGCATCGGGGTGCCCGTTAATGTTAAAGAGTGAAGAAGCAAGCACCATGAGAAATACTTCTTTTACGAAATTTCCAAGCAGAAAGTGTATTCAGAGGAGTTTCCTTCCACCCAATAACTAGAAAATTTCCATTCATTTCAAGCGTAAAAGAATTCCGAGTACTGAATTTTTCGAGCAGCATTTTCGCTTGATACGACGACGAATTACTCAATTTCATTTCCTCCATTCCAAATCGCTTAAAATACTCTCTCCATAATTCAATTGTTACATGTCTAATAGTCCTTTCCTCTCCTTCAGCTGCTACAATATTCCTTATTCCTTGCCACATAAACTCTGATTCCATAGTCGTTCTGTTTGATTCATTATTTTTCATACAATCTTCAAATAAATCGAAGAAAGCACCGTGGTAGAATAATGCTTCAATAAAACGGTTAACAAAAACTGGAGAATTATGATTTGCCTCAACTTCAGCAATGACCATTATACGCTGATTTATACCTTTAATAAATCCCATCAAGAAATCAAGCTTTTCTTGTTGCATTATCATGTTAGCCAGAAAATGTTGCGCGTAAACTGCAATCGTTTCCTCAGGATCTATATCTAGGTCATTTTTCTTGAGATCCATGATATCTTCTATTATAACGCTCTTGAAATAAAATAGTAAGTTTAAAGACTCAGCAAAACTCATCAGTCGTTTACCTGTCTCCTCGAGTTTAGTCCTTGATTGAGTATTTCCTATAGCAGTTATTTTGAGATATTCAAAGGGAGATTGAGATTCTTGTTGATGAGTTACAAGTGCTTGTATCAAGATTGTCCATTGTACCCCCATTTTAATTTCAAGATCAATTATATGAATCTTTTTCGAGTTTCTTACATTTTCTACTATCGCTTGAATTCCAACAAATTTTATCACTTGACAAAGAGGCATGTCTTGAACTGCAATCGTACATTGATTTATACTCCTTAACGCGTTCTCAAGATCTTGCATTCCATATATCTCCAAACCTTTCGTGCTATTTTTTCCGATTTCTTTATCAACTCGTTCACGTAGGGCACGGGAAAAATAGTAAACAAGTCTTTGAACAGGATTTCCTGTTTTGGAACTAAACTTGTCACATTCATTTAAAAGGTTAATCGCGCGATCATATTGCTTTTGCCACACTTTCTCCGCGCAAAATAAAAGGCATTCGACGAGTTCAACACTTCTAGAATCTTCCTCTGAAATACTTAACAAGGAACTAACAAATGGATGATCAACTGAAGATTCAAAAGATTGAATAAAATTTTGTCCGCCTAAACGAAGAATTGAATCTGTAGACAATTTACCATTATTTGCACATTCAATTTCACTAGTTTGAATAGTGATTTTTTGCCCCTTTAATTTTCTGAATCCATTTCCAAAGTCTTTCAATATGTTAAGTGAAGAAATCGACGAAGTTCTTGACTTCTTGTTATGTATTAAACTCTCAGGTGTGACATAAAGATGATTTTTTGTTTCGTTTTCGACGTCGAAATCCCAATCATCAACTGTATCAAAATCTGAATCAGAAGGAAGTAATTTCTTACTTGTTATGTCTTGTTCATCTTCTTGATTCAATACAATGCCAGTGGAAAACCAACTGATTTCTTGGGCTGGTTCCATAACAATAAAATGATGATAAACTCAGTGTAATCTCACACGTGAGGTCTGCGGAGGATAGTGTGTATACAGACTGATAGTCGATAGACCTCCGGCTTAAGGAATGGCTGGTTCCAAATTACTATGATTTCAATTGCAAAGATTTGGTATCAGTTTTAGATTACTAACGTACTGATAGAAACATAGATTTTTATATGATTTTTTATATTTTATAGTATGATTAAAAAAAAATTGTAGGAACTTTAATGTTATCGATAATCGATGTTTTCTATTTCAAGAAAGACAAATTAAGTCGTATTTATTTCGGTGATAACATTAGATGTTTTCATTGGTGCATGTGTAGGAGTATGAGCATAGTGTATCTTTGTTTTAATAGTAAGGGTTGAATAACTGTATGATTCATTTAAACAATGGAATGAAAAAAAGCTTTGTACGAAACTACTCTTTTTTTTATATATAAAAAGAATGATTAATTCCTCTGTATGCATAGAGATGAATTCAGAATCTAGAGCCAGGTGTCTTTAAAATGAGTATGATATGTATACATTTGAATTTTTTATGCATATGTTTCGAACCAAAAACAATAAATTCAGCTGAACTCACATAGCCAACCATAAATTCGTGCCAACATACACTTTGTATAGTAATTAATTACTGATGGATCCTTAAGAATTATATAAATCACAGCTAAAAAACTTCGAAAAATAACACTCTCTCTATATATATATATAGTGAGTCAACACCACTTAAAAAGATAATACGATTAAAAGCTTTAAAACCCCACAACTCTTGACCTAAACTCATAACCAATAATTTCTTGACCCCATTTAAGAAATTCTCTAACAAGGAAAGAAAATAACTAAGAAAACAACACAAATTCAGACTTCATAACCAATAATTAATCTACCAAAAACAAGGGAAATCTTGAGTATGAGACAGACAATAACAACTAAATCTAAGTCAATGTTCCATTTGGTGCAAACTGTTTCCAGTATATTGAAATCTAAAAACATAATTCTAATTCTCAAATTCAAAAATGTGCTTAATAAAACCTACTATCTTCTGCATAATTCCACCTTTAGACTTTTCCTCTGTTACTTTTGGCTTAACACCACTTGAGTTTTCTTTATTTTTCCTTTTCTTCTTCTTAGCTTGTTCCTTTGGTTTCATCTCCACCTGATTTGGACTTGAAATGCTAAATTTCTTGAATGCTTTTTGTAACTCAACATACATTTTCTTTGAATTTCTCTGAAACTCAGCAGACACATTAACTCGAGACGATGTCTGGTTATCTCCTTGATAACAACCAACAATCGCCTTACCATCACTATAAGCATTAACAGCTGCCAATATAAATTCACCACGTTCACGAAAATGCTCATAGACAAAGGCTTCAAAATTCTTTGGAGGAGTACGAATATGACATAACATTGTCTTGCAAGATAAAATGAACACTTTCTCATTGTAAGCTAACGACGTGTTCTTCCACCTCTCAGACGTGGTATAGTTTTCGTGTCCAGGCTCGTTGAAGTAAGGTCTAGAATTGAGTACTAGCCCCTGAATCGAAACGAGAAGCTGAAGGATTGTAGAATTTTTAGGTGTCCACATTTCCTGATTGCTACCATTCCAAGTATTAATAAGACTCAAACAAACTGTACCATTAGGATACAGATTAGGATTCATATGATAGCCGCGTGAATGATAGTAAACTTTGGGAGGATGCCTCGGGTAATCGGAAGGAAACACGATATCAAAGAAGAAGAGCCCGTCGTGGTAAGGAGTACCAGGAGCACCGATAATTACTGCTCGTAGCAGATCCATTCGTAACTCATAAGCGCGAACATAAATGGATTCAGGAAGATTTTTCTCAAGGATTTTCCATTCTTTCATAATGTTTCTGCAGGTAGAAGTGTTTGCATCTTTGAAACTATTTTTATCCTTTCTGGATTGGTTTGATTTGAGGTAATAGTGGTCTGATTCATCTGAAACTACATCAAAATGTGGGAATTGGATCTTTTGTCCCTCACCTGCTTAACAAATACTTACTATTGAGTTCTCAAAAGAGAGATATTGTAACATGAGCACAAACAGAGTTTTTCAAAAGCAAGCATATCAATCTGGCTTATAAAACAAAAGCAACAACAACATATCCGGTGTGATCGCACAAGTGGGGTCTGAGGAGGGTAGTGAGTATGCAGCTTTATCCCCACCTTTGTGCATGTAGAAAGACTATTTTCGATAGACCCTAGGCTTAAAACTTGCATGCATAATCACATCAGTGTAGAGCAGGGGTGGATTTAGGGGGCAGAAGCAGGATTTCCGCTAAAGGGGTTCAAAAAAAGAAAAAACTTCAAAAATTAAAAAAGATTGTAGTTAGTAGGAATTGAACCAATGACCTACTTATGGGCTATGTCAAGGGGTTCAAAACATAATATATGGAGGGTAAAAATATATTTTGTCATATATATATACAACATAATTTTCCAGCGAAATCTGCCCCGGGGCGGAAGGGGGTTCACCCGAACCTCTTCGCCGGATAATTATACTGCAAATTCTGTTTTGTGCCTCTATATATATATATATATATATATTATATTTTGAATCCAATTAGCATTGTAGCCCAAAAGCGTAGCTCAGTGGTCAAAGGGGTTCAAAACCTTTTTGAGATTGCTAGCTACTGATGTAGTGGAAATAACAACAACAAGATAATAGTAAAATCGAATCATAAATAAATCAGGTAGTAAAAAAAATCTAAGAATCAGGAAATACAAAAATATGGCTACCATTACTAAAACAAAACAAAAAAAGATATCTTATTTATATTCATTAAAGAAAGAAAAGACATATTATTCACTCTATCAATTATAACCTAGCCTCTCTATCATAGAACACTAGAAAATCATCAACAAAATTTTTCTCCACAAACAACAAAGAAAAGTAAACTTCCTGTTAAAAAGATAGCTGCAGGGAGAAAACAGCATATACATAAAAAATTTTTATTTATCATCCGTCGGTGTCCAATACCCATTTCAGGTCCCGACTAATTAAGATGCACGTCACATTAGGCTCACTAAAGAGGAAACACTCTCTACTAGGATTTTTTCTATTCTGGCTCGAACTGAGACCCCTTGTTAAAGGCGAATATTACTATGTTCATGTCTTAAGAACAAATGTAGAGGATTCATATCGACCCCAATTAGTTTGAAATTGAGTCACATATTTTTTTGGCTTTCCGCCCGTTATCCGGTATATCTACATTATACCTGACTAATTCAGAGTGTTACTGTTTCCAGGACCCCAACCCGAAACCTCTAGTTTAAGGCCGGTGAGTCATAGTTGATTGAGTTTGAATATGATATTAAAAACTAAAAAGGAAGAAAAGAAAAGGTACCTGAAGCAGTAGCCATGCTTGTTCTTTCTCTTCTTATTCGTCTTCAGTAATCTGATATTAAAGACTGATAATTAAAAAGTATTAATGAGTTAATATTGAGTTATTGTAATTATTGTGTTCCATCTCCATAAAGAGTTCTTGTTCTTCTAGGTAAATTATCGTGTAGCTTTAGAAATCCTAATACACATAAAACTCTACTACGAGTCAAAGTATTAGCTAGGGTTTGTTTAGTTCAAAAGCTTACTCCAAGATTATAATTTTGGGATTAAAATTTGAATAACTTATCCACATTTTATTTGAGACAAATTATACCAAGATTTTGGTATAATAAATATTAATTTAGCTAATAAGCATAACCAAACATGGTATATATTTAATCTCAAAATTTATATCAAAATAGCCCACCTAATACCTTGAATTACAGGGCCACCAAGAGCCCGTTTGGATTGACTTGAAAAGGTAATTTTTCAGTTGAAATAATTTTTAATCTAAAAAATAATAATAAGTTAGGGTTGCCCAACTTATTGCTTTTGGCTTGTTTTAAGCAGTTTTTAACTTATTTTAAGTATTTTTTAACTGTCAAACATTGAAAAGCTAAAAGGAATTTAAAAGTTGATTTGACCAGCTTAAAAGCCAATCCAAACACCCTCTAAGTACAATGTCTTATTATTCTGATTTTAGACTCTCTTTTTGGTCCTAAAAAAAGGAAAAAATAATGGAAAAGGAAAAAGTGGAACAAAAGAAAAGGCAAAAAAGGACCCAAAAAAAAATTGACCTGCTTCATTGACAAGTCTCTCCATAATTCATCGTCATTATTTAAAGAAATTAAATACTTACCTTTTTATTGCCTTTTTTAGATTTCTAAAATTGATTTCTAGCAATTATTAAGAATTTACGAGTCTTTTAAGAAGCAATTGGTTGAAATAAATACGGTTATGCAGTGTCGTGTAAGCTGAGCTTGACCAAAATCACACGCTTTATTTTTGTGCTCAAAATGTGCACATTCAATGAGCATGGATTAGAATCACATAATCTGTTATAGGGCGTGTCACACCTCTTTTTTACATACCCGAGAGGGTGCAAGGGAGTTTTTTCCAATTAAAGGACAATCGAAACGGGATTGGTTTATTTATTTCAGAGTCGCCACTTGGAAGATTTAGGGTGTCCCAAGTCACCAATTTTAATCCCGAATCGAGGAAAAGAATGACTCTATATTATGGTATGCGTACCAGAAATCCGGATAAGGAATTCTGTTAACCCGGGAGAAGGTGTTAGGCATTCCTGAGTTCCGTGGTTCTAGCACGGTCGCTCAACTGTTATATTTGGCTTGATTATCTGATTTTATACATGTTAAAACCTATGTGCGAGTTTTAAATTCTTGACCGCTTTTATTATTATTTTTTACGAGAATTGCAACGTCGTGAAAATATATCTCAAACCACGTTACATCAATGCACCCGTGGTTATTGACATATCTCGACTCGGTTGAGATTTGGATTTGGGTCACATAAATGTGCACCCGAATTAAGAAAAATACGTTATTAAGACGCACCTAAAGCAACTAACGTATTGTTATTTTGGAGAAGACCGCAAAATTTGCTAAACGGCATGTCCCGAATTCTAAGTATTTTTAATATATATACATTTAGAGGGCCCGCAGCTTGTATTTTTTATTTGGCGAGGCTCGTCTCATTTTTATTTATTTATTTATTCTTTTTTTTTTCTCTTTTTTTTTTAGAAAAAAGGACAAGGCTAAAATGACTACATTTCTTTGCTACTTTGCGGGG